TCAGAGAAAAGCAAGCTGACCTCCAACTCTGATATCCATCCCTCAAATGGTTTCTTCTCTCTTAACTATGAGTACTTATAGACATCTCAAAAGGAAGTGAACTCAGTTATTATTATTATTATTCATGCATACATTATATCATTAAAATTCTCACAACTCTCTTAGAGATGAAATGAGCATTTTAAATATGAGAAAAAATTAGTCTCACCCAAGTCACATAGGTAATACATAGTGAAGACAATACTAGACTCTGGACCTCTAGATTTCAAGCTTAATGTTCTGTCCCTATACCATAATTCACCAATCTATAATATATCTCCTTTAATAGGAAGCATAAAGGACCAGAAGAGGCTGAGTGGAAGTAACTAAGAAAGTGGATGAGCACTTAGAAATCAGTAAATTTCTAACTAAGCAGTTAGCAAAGACACCAGCCTCTTTTTTAAGAGTATGGAAGCTAGAAAGTTTTATTATAAATATAAAATCAAGAGCAAACGATTTTGGTTTAAAAAATGCAATACTGCCAAGATTTTGGAGCAGCCTATGTGCCCATCAGCAGCTATGGTACATTTACACAATGGAATACTACTCAGCTGTAAAAAAAGAAAATTTTACATCATGGACCTGGAGAGCATCATGCTATGTGAAATAAGCCAGTCAGAGAAAAACAAGTACCAAATGATTTCACTCCTATGTGGAATCTAATGAACAACTGAACAAGCAATTAGAGATAGACACAGAGAAAGAGAGAAGGCTGATAGCTCAACGGGATGGGCAGGTGATTGAGCAAAAAAGATAAAGAATTCATGAATACATGGACACAGACAACAGTGTTGTGATTGCTGAGGGTGTGGAAGAGGGTATAGGGGGAATAAATGATAGAACTTTTTTTTAAAAAATATATATTTTTAAGAATTGTTTTTTGATTTTTGTCTTAAAGCAAGAGAGAGAGAGCAACATTGATGCAAGAACACAAAACTGGTCGGCTGCCTCCTGCATGCCCCCTACCAGGGATTGAGCCTGCAACCTGGGCATATGCTCTTAAACTGGGCATTTAATTGGCAACCTCCTAGCACACAGATGGCACCCAACCAACTGAGCCACACCAGCCAGGGAAAAAATATATATATTAAAAAACAAAACAAAAAAAACTGCCACTGGCATCTCCTTGGAGGGCCATCAACACTGCCTATCTTACAGCCACTATTTAGCATACAATGTGAAAAATTTTATAAAAATACAGTGAAATGTAAAAAAGCCTACTGACGAGGACTGAACTATTATGGTGACTAAATCTACATTCCAACTGCCTTTGCTGAGTCTGTGACTTTGAATAAATCACTAACCCATTCTTCTTGGTTTTTCATCTAGAAACTACTACAATTACAAAATTGCAATGTCTAGCTTACAAGGAAATTGTGAGAAACAATTGTGCCTGAAATAGACTTGAAGAAGCTTTTAATTCCTCAGGCTAAAATTGTTTTAAAAATAAAATACTCGCCCTGGCCAGTTTGGCTCAGCAGCTAGAGCACCAGCCTGCGGTCCAGAGAGACCCAGGTTCAGTTCCCGCTAAGGGCACGTATCTCGGTTGCAGTTTGTCCCCAGCCCTGGTTGGGTCGTGCGGGTGGCAGCCACTCGATGTGTCCCTTTCACGTTGATGTCTCTCTCTCTCTCCCCGTCCCCCACTCTATCTGAACAAAAAAATGAAGAAAAAAAAAAAAGTCCTTGGGTGAGGATAAAAATAAATAAATAAATAAACAAATAAATAAATAAATAATAAAAATAAAATACTTAAAATAATGAAAAGCAACTAATAGAATTTTAAGAAGCATTGCGATAAGTTCACTAGGAAAAGAAAACACCTACCACCAACACTGTATTTACTTATCAATTACATTATGCCCTTTTCTAAAATAAAACTGGATTAATCTAAAACTCATTGTCTTTATGATAACTACTAAAACAATCAAATCTAAATCCTATCCTAATGATATTTATCTAGCAAAGTAAAAGTGATGCTTTTCCTTAGAGAAAAAGTAACTCTTCCCAATATTCATATTCAAGAAATCTTAGAAAAGAAAAAATATACCCACAAAACCATAAAAAAAATGCACTCTTTTTAAAAAATGGGTTAAAGAATGCTTTCTGTACAGATGTTTGGAGGCAAGCGGGACCATGTAGTCAAATAATTGAAAAACATTTTTAATCCCACCCCCTACTAAGTTACTACTAATCTAACAGTTAAAATAAGACCCTCCAGGGAGCAGATTTCCCATTTCATCACTTAAGGTCATGGCCTGCTTCCTATCTCTTCTTTTTTACCACTTGTCACTAGAATGGAAGGAAGGAAGGCAGCTCATGTAATTGGCCCATTTCCAGGCTGGGAGCAAATCTGATGATAAATTAAGTGAAGAGAAAGTTGGCGGGAGAACTGCTCAAGTTCACTGATCTCATGAAGCTTTTCTCATATAAAAGTTATTCGAAAATCACATGGAATCTAAAACTAACCTGCATTCTGTTCTTGATATTTCCTTAGATATATTTTTCTTCCAATTTTAGAAGTTCTAAAAGAAATATAATATCCTGTGGACACATTCTACACCCAATTTAGTTTATACTGTTTCATTAGTCCCACTATTTCAACACAGAAACAGATTTTAAAAGTTTTAAGAAAGGAAACTTTGGGGGCTGCTATCCTTCAAAATAAGGAAGACAAGTATAGTTGACTGTTGACGTGAACTTCTGGTTAAACTAAAACTCAGAGAACAAAGTGACTAACCCTAATAAATTAAGAAATAAGGAAAAAAAGAGAATGCACAGAAATTTGAAGAAATGATATATCCTATTCTTTTGCCTCCTCTGAGCAATTTAGTAAGAAGCCAGAAAAGGGCTCATGAGAAATCTCTGAAATGACTGTAGGTGACCTGAACTTTCGCAAGGCAACAAGATTGAGACAGGCGATAGGACAGAGCAGAAATCTACTTGCAAAAGTCCTCAAGTGTGTGTGCTTTTGGTGGGCCCAAGGTACTTATGTGGCAGAGTTGTTTACAATCCTGTTATTCAACATTGACGGACTCTACCAAGTAAAATGCTTTACACACCTTAAGACAGCTACTTTAATAAAGCTGAATCTGATATGAGGAGAACTAGAAGAAATATAGCTATGCGGATTTTCCTGACATAAAAACCATGTTAAAAATATCTTATGGCACCAGGAGACTTGTAAAAGAATGCTCACAGCAGCTCTATTCAAAACAAGATCCATTAACAGTGAAATGGGAAAAAAAAAAAAGTGCTGTTCTTATACCTAGAATATCTCGAGTTGTGCTGTCCAATAAGGTAGACACTAGCCACATGTGGCTATTGAGAACTCGCAATGTAACTAAAATGTGATTTGAGCCCTGGCCGGTTTGGCTCAGCGGTTGGAGCGTCGGCCTGCGGTACAGAGAGTCCCAGGTTCGGTTCCCGCTAAGGGCATGTACCTCGGTTGCAGTTTGTCCCCGGCCCTGGTTGGTCATGCGGGTGGCAGCCACTCAATGTGTCCCTTCATATCGATGTTTCTCTCTCTCTCTCTCTCTTCCTCTCTCTCCCTCCCACTCTATCTGAACAAAAAATGGAAAAATGTCCTCGGGTGAGGATAAAAAATAAATAAATAAATAAATAAATAAATAAATAAATAAATAAATAATAAATAAAAAAATAAAATGTGATTTGAGATGTGATGATTTCAAAGAAATGAAAAGGGGGTAAGAAATATCAATATTTATGTTGAATTGATATTTAAGAATAGTGATATTAATATGAATATGATGAATCAATAGTTTGGATATACTGAGAATAAAACCTACATTAAAATTAATTTTGTTTCTTTTTAAATGAGGCTACTAGAATAGTTGAAATTATACATGTGGCTCTTTTCATATTTCTATTGGACAGTGCTGAGAGTGGTCTATTTGTTGGCTTGGGGACTGGTTTGCTTTGTTAATCTGCACATTTATATTTTATGCACTTCTCTGTGCATTACATCTCACTATTTTAAAAAATTTTAAGAAATTATCTCCATCTGCTTTTCTTAAACATTTATATTTGTTATATCAAGTAATGACTGAAGAAAACCTAAAACAATAGGATTGAGTGACTGGTTCTGGCATCTCAAATCAATACAACTAAAAAAATATAAAAACGTTAGGCCCCTGAGCTGCTTAGTCACAGTCTGTCACAGTCTTCAATATATTTTTCAAAATACTTTAAAATTATATCTAAACATTTGAAAAACACAGCAACCTGTAATTCAACAATATTATTCATCCTATACTAATATGCAATATATTATTTGCAATATATGAAATAAGTGATGTCTACTTCTGAAAAGTTGCATATATTCTTTTGAGTCAACATATTTACAATGCACAAAATAAACAGTTGATAAATGTGTTTACAAATAAATGAGATCACATGTTCAATGTATGAAAGATTTAAAAGAAAACCTTTTGGGAATTTCTTATACATAATAATCTTATCTTAATGTCTCTATAAACAAGTTGTAATACTTTTCTAATAATAATTTATTTTTTTAATTTGAGGCATTCTGTCACAAAGTTCTTGCCTTGGAAAATAAATTTTTAAAGAAAAGAGAAATAAAAATTCTGAGTATGCACAAGTCAGTTTACTGATGACAGCTGACATCGGCAAATTAAATGCCTAAATAAGTGTTTTCTACCACTAATATCTAGTGTTTGATGAAATTTTAGCAAATATAAAAGTATAGAAGACATGCTTTAAAAAGAGATTTTTCTAAGCATGAAAGGCATGATAGCTAGTAGAATGCACAAAACACTCCGAAAGAAATGTTTTAAAATGCAAAACAAAACTTAGAATTCTCTCAGCTACCTAAGGGCAATGCTGATGACCTAAACTCACATTTAACTCATTTTTATGAAGAGTTGAACTTATAAACAAAAAGGAATCTAGAATAAATCTATAGAATAAATGTCTATACTCACCATGAACTTGGTTAATCTCTGAATTCTGGGATAGAATTTCATCTGCTAATTTTTGAGCAGTTGGCAAAACTTCTGTATGGTGCACTGTGATCAAATACTGTACAAATTTTTGTAGTTGGTCTCTATTCATTTGAAAGAGAGTCTCTGAAATGGGAAGATGCAATTTGACCTGATCTGGCTTGCGGATGCGGTATAAAGACAGTGCCACAACATGGGCACAATAAAATATGTCCTTGTTTCCACAGCTGCAGGTCACTGAGGTAATCTTGCAACGATCAAAGCTGATGGCCACGTTGCAAACAGTTTCTGGCTCCGATTGTATTGCAGGTTCTGTCACTGTGCCACTCAAGTGGAAACCTAAATGAAAGGAAGGGAGGAGAGAGTTTAGCTTCTGTATTCAGATGCTATGAAATATTCCAATTCTTTGAAATATGTATTACTTGACGGCAGCAAAAAAAAATATGACAGCTTTTATTTTCAAGTAAGAACATTCAGGCCACTCAAACTCAACCCCACACCCACTCCCACACCCTAAAGGTAACAAATAAATGGTAGTCAACAGACATCTGTAGTATTTTACACAGCCATGTCAAAACACTTATCACATATGTCATCCACTATTCCTAAAGAAAACTGTTAGATCACAGCACTAATAAGCCATCATTACTCTACTCTAAATCTGTGGTATACTCGATAAAAATTCACTAGATCAGTGGTTTTCTTCCTTTTTAAACAACTTTTTAAAGTTAAGTAGTCCAGCTCAGCTTTCTTCTCAGTGAACTCCTTCCTTCCCTCTATCTTTATTCCAGGTAGCCACTAGTCTCCTTCAACCAACTCTGTAACTCTGAGGGGATCCCTTTCACAAATACTGACCAGAAAAAAAAAAAAGGTTTTAATTAATAATCCTTTCTGTAGCATGCATTAACATATCCCCCAATATAGCTACATGTCTGCTGATAGAACTGCAAAGCCCACCAAATCTCATGAATACCACATGTAAGTAGCTAGCAAGGACTATTTTGTATCACATTATATAGAGTCAAAGCTCGTAAAGAAGAAGGTCGTTAAACATTCGCGCTTGGGCGTGTGCGCACGCACGGTCATGCAAAATCATCAAAGGGGCAAGCGGCCTTAGTGGCTTAAATTCAGAACCACACAGGAATCCTTCACAATCTCCCAGACCAAATGGCCATGTGGGCACTGCTAATAAAGGTCTCGAGATAAGACATTCAATCACCACACACAGGTAACAATTCTCCTTTGTAAAGCCCTGGCTACAGTGAGTGTACAGCCAACTGAAAACTGCCTTCCACCAGTCACCAGCAGTCCTGGCCTGTTGGTCAGGGGACAAATCCTCCTCATAACTCTTCCCCAAATGTGTTTGGAAGGTCATCCTGAGTTCTTTTGGGCATGCCCATTCAGTTCCATCTTCCCTTCCTGAAGCCACATTCAGAGGCCAGGGTTAAGCCTTAAGGGGATCCCTTTGGGAACCTCCAGGACACAGTACCTAAGGATTCCAAGTGCCTGACAGAAACTTGAAGATACAAAATAAAGCCCTTGGCTTGCTCTCTCAGCCTCACTATCCATACTACTTACATAAAATTCACCAAGCCCGCCATTTCTTCAGATTCCTCTTTATTCACACAAAGGTTCTACACCATGTGGGAAGTCTGGGAACCTGCAGAGATGTGATATGAGAATAATGGCCAGATGACACCTAGAGTTCAACGTGGGGCATCTGAAGCCCCCTTAGTGTCTTCTTCAAGGGAGGGCCATCAGGCCAGAAAACTGGAAGAAACAAAATTCAACTGACAAGAAATCTTTCAGAGTAATAAATATAGTTGGATCTTGATCATTCATATTCAGCAACACTTAGTTGAAAGCGAGAAGTGCCATAATAATTTTTACCAAATTAATTCATTTTAATAGTATTTCCTAAAAACAAGCTACTATTATTGCTTCACAATACTGCATTTTGAGAACTGCAATATGATAGACAACTTCTGGTTTTCTTCCAGAGTTTCAGAATGGATATTCCAGTCTCCTTTATCTTTTTTAGTCAATAAGTTTTTGGAAAACCACAATTAAAGAAAGATACATAGTAAATGTAATCATATTTTCAAAAAATTTTAAATGTATTTTCCCATGAGTAAAAAGTCATTAAAAGTAAATATCCAAAAACATTTCAAAAATGACGAATAAGGGCAGTCTTGCCTTATTATATACATGATGCACTGTAAACCTCCAATAACTAAAAATCCATAGGACAGGCACAGATTAGGGCAAAAAATAAATAAAAATGAATGGATCATAAGAGAGAGTCCAGAAAGTTCCCAAGAATATACTGCACATTTAGCGCAAGAAATCTATTTTCCACCTGTCACATATATGTGTGTAAAAAGAAACCAGTTATTACTACAAGAAAATAGTTGTCATAAACTGCCCATTTATAAAATTAACCTCTCCCAGTTAACACTATCATATCTCTTCTTGATCACAAGGTCAATGTCTTTGTCTCTCCACAAATGTGATATTGGAGAATTTCTCAAATCACACACAGGCAAAGAAAGCTAAGAAAATTGAGGAACCAAGAGTTAGACTAGTTAGTAATTAGTCAAAGGCTGTAACTTAACAAGTACTTCAAGGGACTAATTTAACTATCAAAGAAGAAACCCTTAGGAAAACTGATGAAGCCCTCAAAAAAGTTTTACAAAAATCACTCCATTCCTGTGATCTGTGCAAGTCAGAAGGAAGCAAAATATATTGAATCCTGATATCACATATAATTTATTATCCAATTTCATTACATTAAACATTTACTACTCTCCTAAAATTTTTAAAAAGCAAACTATAAAATATTGTGACCATCAGTTTAAGAAATATGTGAAGACACATAAACATATATGTCTTACAGAGTAACACTTCATTAATCTACTATCATCAAAGATTAAGGAGTTTCATGAATATTCATTTTCCAAGTAATTCTACATTATCTTTCATATACCCAAACTCCTATAAGAATTCCAACCATTTTGGGGGAGACATTTCTGTTTGTAAGTTCTATCTAACCTGCTGCCCTAATCAGCTGACCATTTAGGATGTTTACCAAGTGAATGAGGAAGCACTCCTTGTAACAGACAACTGCAGGTAGCAATACTCTATCTACTTAGGTCTTTTTGTTACTTTTCTCCATTATCAGCTCTCACAATGACTCCTCTCCATTACTGCTAGCCTTTTTCACAGAAAACTTTTTGCCCCCAGGTCAGCTGCGCCTCTAACTTGACTAGCTTTGTGGCAGAGATTTAATACTTAGAGACCTATTCATTTCGGGGGAGAGGGGCATGTCCCCATTACTTTTTAGGTTGGGATGGTTGATGTTACTAGAGACAAAAAGCTTTATTTTAAATACAGGAAAATCACATACACAGATAAAGGACAGCTGGTATATTAATTTTTAAGACTACACAATATTCAGTCAATATATAGGAATTCCATTAAGCCTTACTTCAGGATGGTCTAGTGGCGTATTTTGGCTTCTCCAATTTGAAAAATCTTTAAAATTCCACCAATGCACTCTGTCGATCCTAAATCATACCAGAGCATGCGCAGGAGAAGCAAGCAGAATATTCCTCTCTCTCTCAACATTCCTAGAAGGCTGTAAGGTATCTTTCCCCACACCTTCCTCTCCACCCCCAACCTATTTTATCTCTTAGTTACTGAGTGACTTGAAACATAAAAATGTTCCTGAGTGTGGATTTTACCTTTCTGGAGTTCTGACAAACCCTGATGATCAGCTGTTTTAAGCAAAATCTCCTCTGGGATAGTTAGCTGTTCTATATGACAGAACTGAGGACACAAAAAGAGGCAATCTTCCCCACTATGATAAAATATGGATAATTGTTTTCTTTTCAAAAAACTAAAACTTAAAAAGAAATTATCTAAACCCTTTCTTATAAATATATTTATTTGACTTTACAAAATATAATCTGTCAAAGATAGTTAATCCCATGAGAGCAAACCTCACTGAGCAGTCAAACTGTTTTACGATCATGTCACCCCTGAGCCCAATAAAACATTAATATTCACATTATCAATCTGCAGAAACTGAAGAAAAACAAAGCAGAAACCAAGGCACAGTACTGTATAGGCTTCAGTAATAGACTTTGACTTGGTTCAGGTTCTGTTACTTAGATGCTGAGAGCTCTGAACTTTCTATTTAACATCTCCAAGTCTGGCTCTATGTGTGTGCAAAATATGGCTATAAATACCTCCTAGGGTTGTTTTGGGATTAAAATGAAATAACATATGTAAAGCACCTGGCACATAGTAAAAGTGCTCATTAAATTTTATTTCCCTTTCCTTCCTTTCCCAGCTGGAGAAGTAGGGGAGGGATATTAAATACATTCCCTTCATCCCAAACACTTTATTTTTCTATGCTACTGAAATTTTGGAGGGTGGGGGTGGGGGTTTTCACTCATGACATGTCTTGAAAAGTAAGCTTGGTCACTAAGAATGTTTGAGGTGAGTAAGGCGACACTAGAAGAATTATTGCTGTTTGACGACAAAACCAAAAAACTTCAGTCAGTTATACCTTTGCTCAATGCAGTGGCCTTTCCCCATTTTCCTACTGAGTTCTGCCCACACACAAATAGCTAATTTTGTCAGAATGTTACTTACATACATAGATAATTCAGAAAATATAAGAGAGATTTCTTTTGACTAACCATACAATATTTCTAAAGAGTTATAATGTAATGATTCTCAAAATGTGGTCCAGGGACACCCAGAAGTTTCTGAGACCCTTTCAGGGTGTCCACAAGATCAAACATTTTTCATAATTATACCTAGACATTACTGATCTTTTAAACTCTCTCTCATGCACGTACATTGAGTAAGCAAAAGGAGTGTGGGGCCCCCGCAATAAAATTAAGAGTGAGATCAGAAAGATGAGGAACTATTTATAATGCACTACTAAGAAAGGGAAGAAATAGCTCCTCTTTGCCAAACCATCTTTGAAAGAACATGACTTGCACTTGAATCTTACAGGTCAGTAGTTAATAAAACTCAACAGAGAAACACTTAAAGGGCAAATTTCTCATGCATGAGCACATATTCAAATCAACTACATTAATCAATTCTCATTAATGTAAAGTTAAAGTTTCTGGAAAGCAAATATTTATTTTTTCACTAATATTCTAAAATAAGCTTTCCTTGAGAGCTGATTTTCAATATATAGGGTTAGATTTTAGTTGCATTTTAAAGAAGACCCATATCAGACTGGAAAGACAACTGTTTTAAAATACATAGAGAATTTCTAAAGATTGGCCATTTTGTGTGTGTGTACGCGCGCGCAAAAC